AAAAGACGGGGCAGGTGTGATTGCAACGCGCGTCCTCTTGCTTTTATTTCTGGCGATTTCCTGCAAACACCGTAGAAGGCTGCGAGAGGCTGAAAACGAGCCCTCCAAGCGTGTAACTTACGTACTTTGGGAGAGGGAAACAGATGTCGAGGGATGCGTTAAGTTTCATGGTTCGTTTCAGCCTGCGGGTAACAAGACATTGTAAACTTGGGCAGAGAGCTTTCCTCTCATTTCTGAATAAGCAGAAGGTTGCTGGCCCAAACTGTTATTTGCTGCAAAAGAAAGGAGGGGCAAGACGAAGTGTTTCCTGCAGTCATTGAATATGGTATGATTAAAAAGTCCTCCTTTCATTAGGCAGGGAAGCCTTGCCCTCCACTTGTTCCTGTAAATATCTTTCTGTAATGGTATATGGGAAAGACCTGGGGAAAGACATGCTGCCAAGGGAACGATGAGATGAGACACCATAACCCACAGCTGGATAGTGGGCAGGGCAAGAGGCTCAGAAGGGACCTCCCTGGTTTCTGGGGCTGTAAAGGAGACAGGAGGAGAACTGTATTTTCAGGCTTGCAAGATTTTTTTTAATGTGGCTTTACAGTAAAGCAGAATTAGATCATCTGGCCATGTTTCCTGTCTGGTCTACTGGTAAGGCTGACACTTTCATTTTCCCAGGTGCCTCAGTGTGCTTCATCTTCAGCAGTTGTTGTGAGTAGATTCTGATTACTTTTTAAAAGATAAATATAGAGTTAACATGTAGGCTCTCATGTGCCTGCAGGTTCTCCCCTGCAACCGTCCATCTGCAGCTTTTCCAGCCACCCACTCACTGAAGGTCTTCCAGATGGGAACATTTTAGGGGATAATCTGGATCCCTTTCAGTCAGGATTGAGACCTGGGTATGGGATGGAGATGGCATTGGTTGCAGTTTTGGATGATCTCTGGCGGGGGCAGGATGGAGGTTGTGCATCCATCCTTGTCCTACGTGACCTCTGTGTGGCTTTCAATACCATTGACCATGATATCCTTCTGGATCGGCTCAGAGGATTGGGGGTGGGCAGCACTGTCTGTGCTGGTTCGCCTCCTTTCTTCAGGGTTGATTTCAGTCGGTGGTGACCAGAGAGGAGAGATCCTGCCCTCAGCCCCTACTATGTGGGGTGCCGTAGATTTTGGTGCTCTCTCTGCTCCTATTGAACATCTACATGAGGCTGCTGGGTGTGATGGAATGTATCTATCAGGAGGAGAGTGGTGTGGGAGATCAAGGCTGTCAGGAAGGAGGGGTGCATTCCAGGAGGGAGGCAAGAGGCAGCATAGTCCGCAGGGGGAGCGTGGGAAGCGGAAGAGGTTCAGGGTAGCCATGCCCTAGAATCCCCCAGGGTATATCCACTAGTTGCTGTAGTACAGATTTAGTCTGGCAAGATTCTGTCTATAAGGTGTAAGCAAATAAAGGAACTGGACTGGACTGGACTGTTTCATCGTTGTTCTTGGGCTGGGCCTGACACTGGGTGAGCTCATCTGTTACATGGGGTGAGGTATCATCAATACTCTGATGATATCCAATGATATATCTCTGCCCCTGGTGAATTAAGCAATGCCATGAACGTCTTATCCCGGTACCTGGAGACTCTGAGGGTCTGGATGGGGAACAACAGGCTTCTGCTAAATCCTGGCAAGACTGAGTGGGTTTTGGTTTGGGGTCCTGCCGATTGTGGAGGAGAGCCTTTGCACAGCTTCATGTTCTGCACCAGTTGCACATGTTTCTAGATTAGGGGGGCTCTGCTTACGGTCACTCAGGCCCTAGTCACCTCTGAACTGGATTTCTGCAATGCACTCTACATGGGGCTGCCCTTGAGAGGTATGATAGATTAAAGTCCTCCTTTTATTAGGCAGGGGAGCCTCACCCTCCACTTGTTCCTGTATGTTGCTTTCATTTTCTCAGATGCTTCAGGGTGCCTCATCTTCAGCGGTTGTCGTGAGTAGATTCTGATTAATTTTTAAAAGATAAATATGGAATCAACAGGTGGACCCTCCTGTGGCTGCCGCTTCTCCCCGCAACCCTCCGTCTGCAGCCTTCCCAGCCACCCCCTCAGGAAGGTCTCCTAGAGGGGAGCATTTCAGGGGAGAGTGAGTGGGTGGGGGAGCATTTGCCCTTAGCCTTTCCAGGGTGGAAGCACCTAAGATGCCCCAGCTGCCATGTAAACTTACAAGCATACAGTGCTTGAAGTTCACCATTCAGAGGTGGGCAGCTGGGTGGGTGGGTTGGTTTCCCCTGACCTTTAGCTTCCAATTTCTGCAGCTCAGGAAGGGAAGCACCTTCGTCTTAAGGGCTCTGCAATCCTAAACGTGTGTGACTCGGGCTACTGGGTCTGGGTTTTAAAAATCCGGAGGGCGTGGTAGTAGCATATTGGACTTTGCTGTATCATTTCACAACCTTCTGGGGGCTGCCCAGATTTTTGTTAGGAAACCCAAGTCTGAAAGCTGCAGCTTGGTTCTGATAAGAAACCTCAGCACATTGGTGAAACAACGCAGGCCCTGCCCCGTGCCTTTCACAATAACTTGTTCTGTCCAAATCAGTAAGAGCTTGCTGGAACATGGCAATAAACATGCCTGGTACCTTTAAATCAACCTGCCACTCACAAGAAGGAGAGCAATCACAATAAAACGATAATGGTATGTGGGAAAGAACTTGGGAGGCAGGGCAAAGAGACACTGCCAAGGGAACAGTCAGATAAGAGACAGCATAGCCTGCAACTGGATAGTGGGTGGGACAAGAGGCTCAGAAGAGACCCTCTCTAGTTTCTTGGGCTTAAGAAGATTGTACTTTCATACTTGCAAGATTCTGTCAATGTAGCTTTACAATAAAGTAGAATTAAAGATTAAAAAACCCCACACATTTTGCATTGAAAATGGAATGTAAGCAAGAAGACAACCCTTCTCCATGGGCATGATTAACTTTTTCTTGCTGAGAAAGTTTTGTGTGCTTATTCCATACTTCCTGAAACCTGCTGGCAATCTTCTGTAGTTTTACCGGAGGGAAATGGTATCTCGTAAACTGAGATTAAGGAGAAGGACCGGATTACTTTTTAAAAAATAAATATGGAATTGACATGTAGACCATCCTGTGCCTGCCAGTTCTACCCTGCAACCATCCATCTGTGGTCTTCCCAGCCAACCACTCATCGAAGTTCTTCTAGATGGGAGCATTTTAGGGGATTATCTGGATCCCTTTCACTTGGGATTCAGACCTGGGTATGGGATAGAAACAGCATTGGTTGCACTTTTGGATGATTTCTGGCATGGGCTGGATCGCTGTTGTACATCAATCCTCGCCCTTCTTGACTTCTCTGTGTCTTCAATACCATTGACCATGGTACACTTCTGGATCCGCTCAGAGGATTGGAGGTTGGCAGCACGGTACTGTGCTGGTTTGCCTCTTTCCTTTGGGGTCTATTCCATTTGGTAGTGATTGGGGGGGAGAAATCCTCCCCTTCGCCCCTACTCTGTGGGGTGCCACAAGGTTCAGTGCTCTCCCCTCTCCTATTTAACATCTACATGAGACTGCTGGGTGAGCTCATCTGTTGCTGTGGGATGAGGTATCATCAGTATTCCCCTGGCAAATTAAGTGATGCTGTGAACGTCTTATCTCAGTGCCCAGAGACTGTGAGGGTCTGGATGGGGAACAACAGGCTTCAGCTGAACCTTAGGGGCTTTGGGGGCTATGCTATCTTTGGTGCTGGATGGGGTTTCACTGCCCCAGAGAGACCCAGTGCGCAGTCTGGCTGTCCTCCTGGACTCAAGACTCCTGACCAAAAAGCAGGTGGCAGTTGTGGCTAGGAGGACCTACACAGCTTTGTGTTGTGCACCAGTTATGCCCATGCCTGGAATGGGGGCTCTGCTCACTGTCATTCATGCCCTGGTCACCTCCCGATTGGATTTCGGTAATGCTCTGTACATGCGGCTGCCCCTGAAGAATATCCGGAAGCTTCAGCTGGTGCAAAATGCAGTGGCGCGGGCAGTTATGTGTGCCCCTAGAATGGCACATTACACCTCTGCTCTGCGAGCTGCGTTGGTTGCCAGATTGCTTCTGGGTCCAATTCAAGGTGCAGGTTTTGACTTTTAAAACCCTTCATGGCATGGGGCTGGGTTATCTGAGGGACTGCCTCTCCCCAGTTACTTCTACCCATCCCGTCAGATCTGGCAGAAGAGGCTGGCTACGGCTCCACCTGTTCTGGAGCTACACTTAGCAGATCCCAGGAGGCAGGGCCTTCTTTGCCATGGCACCTGCCTTGTGGAATCTTCTCCTCCCCCCCCGCCCTGAAATGAGGTTGGCTCCATCCTTGATGATTTTCCAGAAGTCCTTAAAAACCTGGTTATGTCATCAGATCTGGGGATTCCAGGGGACCAGGGAGATTTTGAGGTGGCTCCATTATTGTTGTTAACATCTGTTCTCTCTTAGCTTTGTGACTTTTTAATTTTTTTTAATAATAATTTTTTTCATATGTTTACTCTTTTATAATTTTGTTGTACGCTGCCCAGAGTAATTTCTCATGAGATGGGTGACCATATAAATTTGATATATAAATAAAGGAAAATAAATAAATGAAGAAAAGAAAAGCTCAGCTAGGCAAGGTTTAGATAAACAGCACCGAGGGGAAAAACAGGGAGGGTGTGATTGCAACGCACGTCCTCTTGCTTTTATTTCTGGCGATTTCCTGCAAACACCGTAGAAGACTCCAAGAGGTTGAAAACAAGCCCCTCCAAGCATGTATCTTACCTACCTTGGGAGAGAGGGAAACAGATGTTGAGGGATGCGTTTAATTTTCATGGTTCGTTTTAGCCTGGGAAGAACAGGGCATTGTAAACTTGGGCAGAGAGCTTTCCTCTCATTTCTGAATAAGCAGAAGGTTACTGGCCCAAACTGTTATTTGCTGCAAAAGATTGGAGGGGCAAGAAAGAAGTGTTTCCTGCAGTCATCAAATATGGTACGATTAAAAGTCCTCCTTTTATCAGGTGGGGAAGCCTCGCCCTCTACTTCTTCCTGTAAGTTACTTCATTTTCCCAGGTGCTTCAGGGTGCCTCATCTTCAGCGGTTGTCGTGAGTAGATTCTGATGACTTTTTTAAGTAGGGAATCAGCAGGTGGGCCCTCCTGTGGCTGGCGCTTTCCCCCCCCCCCCCCCCACCCCTCCGTGCGCGGCCTTCCCAGCCAGCCGTTCAGCGAAGGTCTCCTGGGGGGAGCGTTTCAGGGGAGACGGAGCGGGCGGGGGAGCGTTTGCACTTGGCCTTCCCGGGGTGGACGCGCCCAAGACGCCCCAGGATGCAGTGCTTGAAGTTCGCCGTTCAGAGGCTGGTGGATGAGTGGGCGGCCTGGTTTCCTTGAGCTTTAGCTTCCAAACTCTGCAGCTCAGGAAGGGAAGCACCTTCCTCTTAAGGGCTCCGCAATCCTAACCGTGTGCGCGACT